CCCTACAAGTGCCTGAAGCCCACTGGCTACTCTGCCCCCGCCTACGGTGCCTACGCTGCTGCCCCTGCCTACTCTGGTATGTACGCTGACGCCGCCTACCCCACCGACTCTTACTACCCCGGTGCTTCTTACGCCGCCGACTCTTACTACCCCGGCGCTTCCTACTACTCCGGTGCCTACGACGGTGCCTACGCCGACGCTGTCTACCCCGCTGGCGCTCCCTGCGGTTGTGGCTGCTAAGCAACCATCATTTCACAAGACTGAACCAAATTTTTTGGGAATTATTTTTGAAAAATAAAAATTAATTGTTGATGTAAACACCTCTTTTACTTTACAGTTCCCTTGTGTCTCCTAATTTAGTCATATGGCTTTAAATCCTGTCTAATGAAACAGCTGATCGCCATTATCAGCTGTACTAACAATTGTCAGCTGATTACAGCTGATTATTGTTAAAAAGTAACAAAGCCACACAAAGTGTCTTACCCCATTATACACCATCCAATCATATTATGGTCTTAGTGACTTATCCATCTTGAAATTGATCATGTATAACAGAAACAAGACTATTTAGAATTGTTTTAAGCTCCATAACTATTACATTGATTTCACGTGGTAAGCAATAACACTCTGGCAATGTTAAGTAGGCTTATTTAACCATCGACGATCGAATACCTGGAACTTTCTGAATTGTAAGTAAAAGAAACATTAGGGAATGACTCAATCAATGTATAGTAGAAACTAAGATAAAAAAACTTAAAGTAAAATAACAATGAGAGAGTTAAAAAATTGAATTTCTCTTCGTCCTGTATCCATATTTTTTACGCTAAACTAAAGATAAAATGAAATTCGGCTTTTTTTGTACGAACTATAAAATGAAAACTCTTGCTTTGTCAACGCTCATGCTCTTACAAACACTTTTACAAACTCTTAAACAAAAACCGTGTCCCTCTCACCATAAGGAAAACCGACATTTTAATCAACTTAACAATTTTAATCTCTCGCTACGCTCGCTCACAAAGCGACTTGGTCTAAACTATTTTTAAATTCCAGACAGTCTAACAGAGATAGCTTGAGTTAGACTAGATTGTTATGATAAAACCGAGAACATCATCTAGTTATCTGATAATTTCAAACAAAAGACTAACTCAGTCATATTGCTTGTGGAATAGTTTTTGTTCAAAGAACATAGAGTCTAAAGAATTTTAAAGTACACTACATTAAGTAACAAAGATCGCCATAACTATTTATTTTAACCGTGTGAGTTAAAGAGTTGAAATTTAGATAAAATTTGCTTAGTGCGATACATTAACCGATTTTATTTTTACCAATTGAAGTGCTCACTACAAAAATGAATAACATAGATAAATAGTGTATGTTATACAACATTTTATATCGACCTCAACGCAACTAACGTACATTCATGTTGAATATTAATGATATATTTATCGATTTCATGTTTTGGCATTGCATCTGCTCAGGTAGGTTGAGTAAAAATTACTCATACTTAAATAGCAATGTACTTTAATTGATTCACGTTAGTAAAAATATTCTGGATAAGTTGTTTAAAATCAATTACATTTCCACAATATGGGTTTACATTTTGAACCAATATTTAGTAAATTAACCCATCGTATTGGAACGACAGCATGAAATATTTATAAATCAAACAAATCTAAGTCTTCTATGTCAGTCAAACGGAAATATCCAATACTCATATTTACTTAGAGTTTAATTCTTGAACACTGTTCATGAATGAACTTATTATACGTGTTTCTACTATATATAGTTAAAAATATAACCTCTGTGTTAACTAATAGATCATTTTGTTACTCGTTATAAAGATGCTACGAATATCCTAATATATTTTTCTCATAATTCACTCGTAAATTGTTGATGGGGATCGATATAGAATAATTTTGCCTTTCCCAATATTCGAGGTTTCCCCATTAATGAGACCTAGTAGACAAAACTATAGATTGCTAATTGCAATATATTTACTGTCCTTAAGTTTATAAAAAGGTACTGTAATCTTCTCTAAGTAGTATTAACAGTCATATATTTGTAATCCTTGACTGAAAATCGAAAAGACATGTTAT